TCTCATTTTATACTGATTGTTAACTCTATTAGTTGAAAGTAGGTTTTTGTCAACTAATAATTAATTAATAGTTAGTTAACAAAATTAATGAAATATTATAAAATTAGTTCTGTTAATTTTGTTAGCTAAAAGTGTTAGTTGAAAGAAAATTTTTGTAAATTGTCAATCAACTAACAGTTAGTTAATAGAGTTAACAGTCAACTAACAGAATTAACAAAATGTTACAAAATAAGGGTTATTTTTTTTTTCAATTTTAATAGGTGAGAGGTAAAAAGTGTTATATGATGTGTTAAAACCTACAAGTTTAGTAAGGTGAGGAATTAAAAATGTCATAATATAATGTAAGGTTCTAAAATCTTCAAACTTAGGGCCTGTTTGGTATGGCTTGTGAGAACTTTTGCTTTTTGAGTACTGCTATGAGTGATAAATTTAAATTTTTATTGGAGGGGAAAAAGAGTTTTAACTTTTAGAAAGGTGAAAAAGTGAGTAAAAAGTAAGTAAAAAGTAAGTAAAAAGAGAGTTTATGAAAAGTTTGGATTTGAAACTTTTAAACTTTTACTGTTTAAGAGGTTTTGAGGTTAAAAAAATATTTAAAAATATAAGTTTTTAAGAAGAAAATTTAAATTCATAAGACATGAATAGTGTCCAAAAGCTGAATCTCTTAGGAGCTCCACCAAACAGGCCCTTAATAAGGTGAGAGACTAAAAATAGGGTTTTGCCCCTTTCAAATGGTGGTTTAGCAAGATTTGGGTACGTGCCTTTTATGCTTATGCGGAGTTAGAATTCTTTGGAAGTGAAGCAAATCGAGTAGTGGTACTCATATAAATTGATAGAATGATACTAGTACAATTGACCCCAAATAGAGAGAAAAGAGAAAATAAAAATATCTTCATACTTTAAATGATAATATTTTTTAATATTAAATTATTTAAAACTCTTAATAAATCTTTTCTTCAAGTAGTGATTCATTAAAAAAATTTTAATTACTAAAAGTTTTCCTCAATCCCATGAATAAATTAATGGGTAAGTCTCCATTTTAGTCTTTCTATTTTGATAAAAAAAAACTCTTTTTTAGTCATTCTATTTAAAAGGTTCCTCTTTAATTCTTAAAGTTTGAAATTCAATCCTTTTTTAGTCCTATCATTAAGTTTTGTAAGTATAACAAGTTAAATGATAGAAATTTTAAAATAAAAAGACCAAAAAAAGATTAAAAATAATCCTAATCTCCTCCTTTATTCTGAAAAAAAGAAAGCTTTTTTATTCATCTCTTTTGAAATTTCTATCATTTAACATCAAAATTTAATGAAGGATTTTAAAAAAGCCAAATTTCAAACTTTAAGGATAAAAAAAAACATTTTTAAATAAATGGATTAAAAAGAGAATTTTTTGTTAAAATAAAAAGTTCAAATTAAAATTTTAACCTAAATTAATTAAAAATTCATGGTTTTACGCGGCTCATGCTGCAAAATATTTTTTTGACACTTTTTTTAATAAATAAATAATATTCATAAATCCCAAGTTGAGAGTTTATTGAGAGGTTAATAAAAAATAATAATAATAATAATAATTAAAAAAAAAAAAAATACAAGCCGAAGTAGCCTCCGAAACACTCTAGAAGCTGCCTTGCACAAGAACGCCTAACAAAGAAAGACAAGAATGTGCAAGGGTCATTTAGAGATGATACTGTCGGCCCACTGCTACATATGGAAACAATCACTGGCGTCACAGATCCGATCGGCAGAATCCACCTTTTTTGTAGAACCAAGCGCACACACAGACCAGAGTATTTTCGGATCCCTTACTTTCTTAGGAAAGAGATGTGTTGATGCAAATGCTTTCGGATCCAAGTCGGGTAAGGTTTCATGAAGCTCGCCCAATGTACCTGCAATGCCAAAAGAAGTATCCCGAGGAAGATACTCTTGACGCTCAAATAAAAAAAAATCTAAGTATTTTAGAG